TTAATAACTCGTTCTACTTCTGATTTCGGTACCTGGAGTCAAGATTTACATTCCTGAACACAGATTCCAACATAAAATTGAACAAAACATATGTTCTTTCTTAATCTAAGCTCACGGATTTTCGATAGAAATCCACCAAAACTTTATTCAATCGTCTTAACACTTACACCGTTAAACTCTTATTACGATACTCTACAAAACCTCAGTTTCAATTTTCACTTTAACGGAAGTTTTTCTGAGATGGGTTACTATTCATCTAACTCAAGAAATCATAGAATTCACATTTTTAAATCTGAAATCTTACCTCTAGAAGTGGAGGTTTTCCGTTAGAACGCCTCAGGTTACGTTTCTACCAAACTGAATGAAAGAAATTTTGATAAAAATACTTGATCTTCCTTGATTTCCCTATCTCCGTCTCTCTCTCTCTAAAATGTTTTCTTTTTATTCACTCTCTCACGTTTTTATTTTCTTGCTGTAGGACATACTATTCAATGCCCACATAGTATCTCTCTTACATGTGCATAAGCTTGAGAAAGTTTTTATTATTTTAGTTGGCACGTGACTCATCAAGGCTAGTAATTGACTCACCATACCTATTAAGCATGTCTTGGCACTATATGTTTACATCTAAAAGTTACGTAGCCACCTCATGCTTAATTCCTTTAATATGTACCCCAAGTTTTCCTTCCGTAATACATTTCACTTTCTTTTTTTTTTTACAAACTCATATTCACCTCACGTAGGACTCTTTTAAGACTTTTGGTCAGCCATACTTAGGCAAAGAAGACAAAAGTAGCTTCTAATGTCTCCGTGGGACTCTTTCAAAGACATTAATGAATATTATAATATTATTTCTAATAATATCTAATATTACTTTCTAAATTAAATTAAAGAAATTAAGTTAATTTCCATAATTTAATTTTACTAGTTCTACTTAAGTTTAACCCTTAATTTGAGTGGTTCTATGTTCCTCACATTTTTCTTGTCGAGACCTAACTTTTCGTTTTTCAAAACTAATTTCTTTTCGGTACCGATAATTTCACACCCGGTACAAGTTCTATACTGCTTTTCTGGACTGCCGAGCACTCTGAATCAAATTTCTCATATTCAACCCATTTCTCTTGGGTATCTCATTAGTCAATTCCCTTTTCTGAAATTATCATCTTAATTGATTCAGAATTGCCCAAAACGCGTACCTTTACGGTACTCTTTTTTTTGGCAGTTTCCCGCTTTAACTGACTCGGGAAAATTCCGTTTCAGGAACTTTTACTATTTTCCTTACTTCTAATTTTTCTACTCTTTTTCTAGCTGATCATTTGGTCACATACCAAATATTTTAGTTTTTCATAACTAAAATATACCCGCTAAAATTTTTAACTTTTAACTAATATCTCACTATTCATAAGTGATATTTACGAATTTTCTTGGTAAAAATATTCGTATTATAACTTTACACTTTTCGGGAGATTTTACCTCATACATAAAGTTTTTACATAATATTTTCTTGATTACATCAAAATTCTACTATTTACTATTCCGGAAAGAATTTCGGTCAAATATTGGACTGTCCGGATTAGACCTAAATTTTTTCCGGTCACTACAAGACTTTTGGATTCCAACAGAATATAGATGAATCTTGTGTTTATAAGCATATTCAAGATGAGAAAGTGATTTTTCTACTATTATATGTTGATGACATTCTACTCATTCGTATTGATGTAGGGGCTTTATCATCAGTCAAAGTTTAGCTTACCAAATAGTTTGACATGAAGGACTTAGGAGAAGCTAATTATATTATGGGTATTCCGATCTTATGTGATCAAAAGAACAAAATGATAGCTCTCTCTCAGACTTCATACATAGATAAAATTCTCGAGAAATATGCAATGCAGAATATCAAGAAAGGTGGGCAATCATTTAGGTCTGGAATTACTCTTTTGAGCAGTAATTATCCCAAAACATCTGAGGAAAAAGAATACATGGCAAAGGCACCTTATGCTTCGGTGGTTGGGGGCCTCATGTATGCAATACTTTGCACTCGATCGGACATTTGCCATGCGGTCGGGATTGTAAATCGATATCAGTCAAATCCAGGACCTAACCACTGGGTAGCGATCAAGAATATATTCAAATATCTTCAGAGGAATATAAATTATATGCTGGTACATTCTGGGGAGGATTTGACACCTCTAGGATATACATATTTAGATTTTCAATATTGTTTAAATTCTAAGAAATCGATTTCGGGTTTTGTCCTTACTATGAGAGGTGGTTCTGTCATTTGGAGGAGTGTCAAGCAAACTTACAGTGCTGACTCAACGATGGAAGCCGAGTGTGGCAGCTAGTGATACTTCAAAAGAAGCAGTATGGCTCCGTAAATTTCTGATGGATCTTGACGTAGTTCCTAGTGTAGATAAGCCATTAAGACTATATTGTGATAACAGTGCGGCAATAGCTAACACCAAAGAACTAAGATATTAGAAAATGAGTAAGCACATAGACATGAAGTATCATGTGATAAGAAGCTTTATTGAAAAAGGGTATGTGAAAATATGAAAGATCGCATCGGAGGATAATATGGCTGACTTGCTAAGGCCTTTGAAAAGCATGTTGAGGCTATGGGGATGTGTAGCATGTCACATTTACTCACTTAAGTGTAAGTGGGAGATTGTTAGTGTTTATGCCCTTAGGAATAAATGTAACAATGTTCTTTGAGACATTTTAACTATTAATAAAGATTTTTTTTATTTCATATATCCACGTATTGTCCTCTTTATGTTCATATTAGTTGAATGTATGATAAGAAAACTGAAAGTCTGATACTGTCATTCTAAATCTTTAGGTCATGCATGTAATGAGAAGAACATGCAGAAGATAAAAATCTAAAGATGATAGTCTAAATCATATGATCCACAATTAAGGGAATAAAGTTGGGCATTTTATTCATGTTAAGATTGTTATGCTGTCTACTTCCTAACGGAGACGAGTTGTCCTGGTCGTCGGATGTGAGACTCTACGGGTAGAGACATTGATATAGTTTCTACTGGTGAAATCTATATTAGGTCGGACCAAAGTTGAATTAATTTAATTAATAATTTCGTTTGTATAAAATAATTCACTTTTGACGAATTATAGGTGGTCATCTTAATCCTGAGATGGATAATGAACCCGTATGCATGACTTGTATCTTTTGATGTACCAAAGGGAAACATCCTGACATTATGTAAAGGTACGCTTACCGGTACATTGCGAGTATGACTCATGTATGTATAGATTTGTTATTCATAGATAGTGGAATTCATAGCTCCTACAAGGAGTCAATGATATCCTCTTATGCATTATCTAGTGATTGGAAAATATGAGCTCTCGATCATTATAGTACTTTGTGTTATTTAATGGTTTACTATTTGTAATGGTACGAAGGATGGTTTTCCGATGGAGTGGTAATGGAACATAAGATAAATGTAATTAGGAAGGTAAAACGAGACTTGACCTCAAGTTGATTATAGATATCCTATGAGGATAATACACTAATATATTAAGTCATGAACGAGAGCTATTCAGAGCTTTGTAAATACGCTATATAAATCGAGAGTGTAACTCTAGGCTTTTAATGGAGTAGCGCTAGAGTTTTATAATCATGAGATAGACTTATTGGTTTACAAGTAGCGTTGTGATTATAGGAGCTTGGTTTATATATGTCCATCGAGTCCCTTTGCTAGCTCACATAATTTCCTATAATGATACGGTGTATTTCCTACATATTGGTAACTTGTGTTATTTCCGTAAAAGATGTTCAAAGTTAATATGAGATTGGTTAATTAGTTCATAAGTAATTTATCAGGTGGATTAATTGTGAAATTAATTCTAGATAAATTGGTTTAATTATTATTTTAAGAATTATTTAATATGGGAAGACTATTATATGACTGTTTTGATCAGGGAACTTCTTTATTGGGTTGCTTGAATCAAAACTGAGGCTCTGTGCAAGTTTTTCGTGTTGAAAAACTAGGAAAACAAGTTTCTCTAGTTCAGATAGGTCGACCGATCTGGTCGACCGGTGAATTATAACGTCTCTATCACCGGTGGACCGGTTGTAACGTGTAGCGTATGCTGACGTGGCAAAACTGACTCTGTAGGTGAGATAACTTTGAGAAACCTAATTGTTACGGAAATATGAATTCCTAAACACTATAAATAGTCCATTAAGTCACATTATTCATTAGATCACTTCAGAGACTTTTTTGGGGTTATTAGCAAAAGATTCCTGAGAGAAAAAATTATCTAATTCTCAAGAGCGAATTTTCTTTTAGCTCTCTTGTGGTTGGAAGGAGTTCAAGAATACCACAAGGAGATTGAACGACGTGTGCCCACTCGCACTCCAATCGTGGAAACGAGAATAGCAAAGAAGATCAGTTGGTTGAGGCTCTTCCGGTTGCTGTTTGAAATGTTTTGATCTATCAGGCGTGCTATTTCCTAAATCTCTAAAGGTGTGATTTAGATCTTTAGTATTTATGTTATATAGCTTCATGAACATGTTCTTGATTGGCTTTGGCATTGATTTAAATTTTTAAAATTTCACTGCGCACTCGATGCCGTATTATCCATAAGTGCGACATGTCAAAATGCTCAGTGCGTCGAGAGCTTTCCATTGACACTGGTTGTGTCAAAAGCGGAGGTTCGGACTCAAATTGAGATTTTGGCCATGGACGGTTTTAGAGAGAGAAAGTACGAGAGGAGAAAGAGTGAATGATAGCAAGAGAGAACCGTAATAATTTCACTTTGTAAAGTGTTTGATTAAAGTAAAATCACGTATTTGATCCGATCCTCAAATATTTCCTCCAAACAGATAAAATTTATACTGATTAGAGGTAATTAGTTTAGCTGACGTAAGTTAATCTACTAGGTACAGTCCAATATTAATCTCTGAATAATTCAATATCGTTTTATAGTCTTAATTGTATACTAAATTGGACTGTTTCATGTCTTAAAACTATTTCTGGGCTCAATAGTCAAAATTTGACTTTTCTGTATTTTGCCTTATCTTTTTCTTATAACCATTTCTCGTAACTAATGCCACAGCTTAATATTATAAGCTCTGTACTTATATTTTCTTATGAATTTATCGACGTAATTATAGAAAATCCTTAATTAATTCTACTTACTAATTATTGGATTTTTCCGGACACTACAATCTACCCACCTTACAAAATTTTCGTCCTAAAAAATTTGAATAAATTAGGGATATCTTACTGCTTTTTAACTTACCCCTGCGGGGTTTCTTCATCTAGCAATTTTACCTCAAGTACTTTGGTAAGGAATATGACATTAATTCTTCTGAAGATTTCTCCTCGTGAGCTAAAACCTGAACTGATTTCTCTTTGTAGGTTTGTGTGCATCGTAACTAACTAGTTCCTGGTGCAACAAAACGATAAATTTGGCACATAACTTTTCAACATCATTACGTGAATCTCATTGCGCACGGATGCTAATTTTTATGGTGATGCTAGCATGTATGCATCGTCACCAATTCTCTTTGAGATCTTGAAAGGTATAATACATCTCGTGTTGAGTTTCATCTCCTATTGAATTCTTATTTCATCTTTCATTAGTATAACCTTCAGGAAGTCTAAGTTTCCCACTTAAACCTCTAAACGTCTACGAGTGAAATGTCATGTTGAACTTTAACTTAGAGCTTGCTGCATCTTGTACGCTTTCTCCTAGAGCCTTGACATGAAGCGACTGTCTCGGTTTCAATAATGGACCCGAGAACTCCATACAACGTTACTATTTTAGACTATTTTCAGTTCAGCTAGTCATTTGATAAAATAACTGAACTTTATGAGCAAAAATAAGCGGACTTGATTAGTTGATCGATGATCACCTAATCGCATCATTACTGTCGGATGACCTAGCCAATCCTACTACACATTCTATCATGATTTGATCCCATTTCCATTCTGAAATGTCGATCTTCTGTAATTCTCGTGCCTGATACAGATGCTTTACCTAAACTTTATGGAAAGTAAGGACTTTGATACAACTCAGCAGCATTTTCTTTCGTATCCCTTACCTACCTTTGGATAATAATCTAGTTTGTGGGGACTAGCTAGCAAGTTCATCATCTTATCACTTTATCCATGAAACTTTTTTAGTCCGTTATTAGGACTAGCAGTTATTGTAGTGTATAACATGCGTAACTACTTGTTCTGAAACTTCTAAAAATTCATGCTATTCCAGCTTATCCTTTCACATATCTCTTACATATGTCTCGCTCATGTATACACATATCCTTATGCTCATATCATTCATTTTCATATCATTCATACTCTCACATCATGAAGTTGCTAAACATTTTTCTTTTGCTAGCAACTACTTCATATTATACTTATAAGTTATATTGTATTTATAATACATACAATAGACAAAATCCATAGCATTCATATACATATTCATCGTACTTTATATCATAGAATTCAGCTTTCACATCATAGAACTGCTAGATATTTTCAAAATTAGCAATTCTTGCATATCATAGACTGTTACTGAGTTCGAGATCTTTCTTGACTACAACAAGTCACACATCATAAAGTTCTTTTGAACTATTCATACATAAGTCATACTTTTATACCTATAACATTCTTGTTCAATCATATGGTGTGTCATGCCTCTAACCCATAGTGATACGACGTCTATATAATCTTTTACATCGTCTCTAGTCCTGATATCGCTGTCCTCGTTATTGGTTCAAACTAGAAGGCCTTCATGTCTAGGTGCTCGATACCATTACCCTTAGTGGCAATCATTTAAAGAAGACTTGTTCTTTCATTCTTCGTGTATCTTATCTGCTACTTTCTTCGTTCTCATGGTAGAGTGATGGGCGTTATTCATTATGACGTTTTTATTCTTGGGCTGCAGGAAGTAGATCGAGAGGTCGTTCCGCCCCTTGTCCTTGAATATGGGTAATATGTTCTCAAACAAGGTTGCTCCAATCTGACCTAGTTGGCGAGCGATCCCAGTTCGCAGCAACCAATATAATCAGCTTCTGGTGAAGATCTGCTCATATGCCGCTATTTGATCATGGGCTAGCAATCACACAGAAAAAGGCTTGCGGCTTCTTATCTTTTCGTAGCGGAGTTGCCTTGACTGTAGCTCTCTAATTGATAGAAAAATAAGGATGAAGGGTTAAAGGATGAAAGTCCATGCGTTAGCTCTCTTCCGAACCATTGAATGAAGCTTTATATATCCTTGTTCTGACTTGTATTCTGAGCATCATTCATCTTGAAGTGTCGGTTCACACGATCACGTAATTTCTAGTGTTTTCTTGCTCATCTAGAAATTCAACATCTAATTTGGCTTCTCGTATTATAGAAAATCCTTAATTAATTCTACTTACTAATTATTAGATTTTTCCGGACATTACAAATTATCAGCAACTCGGTATTTGGGCTTATCCATGACATGAAAATAAAAAAAAAATTATGGTTCATTGAAAAACATGAAAAATAAAGAAAGGAGCATAAATCACAATGAAAATGTAATAATAAAAATAATATTGTCCGGCATGCGACCTATCTGTCACAATCAAGAGTGCATGGTGTCTCCATTAGACCTCTACCCTAAAAATTGCCAGTTTGTTTTCTTCCTATCCTGTGAAGGTGGCGTCCTTTCCTATAAGTCCAGTAAATGCATTTTATTTTTGGATAATTTTTCCAATGTCTTAGAAACAACTGCATTTTTTTAATTTTAATTTTTGTTTTACTTCACGAGACTCCGTCATGCATCCAAATTAATCAAAGTAATCACGATTTAAATTTTTGTTATAGTGTTTTTTATAATAATTCAAATGTAGCTTTTTTTTTTTTGTAATATTTTATCTTATATAAATTTACTTTTTAACTTAAATTTTTAATTTAAATGAGCAAAACGAATGAGATTTAATATCAATCATATACATGCACAGTCAATAATCAATTATGATAAATATAAATAAAAATTGATATCTAGAAAATGTGAAATTGGAAGGTTTATAGATATTTTAAATATATATTTTATACATAGTTAACACTGTAATAAGAAAAAATTTACGGAAGATTTCGCAAGGAATCTAGAACGTGTTCGGTCCTCTGTTACTTTGAAGTATTAGAATAGTCACATGGATTCACAATCCAGGATTTACATAAAAAGAATATTTTTTTTCTTCTGCTTTTAAATTCACAAGTATTTTCTTAGTACAGAGGTTGTTAATTGACAAAATTTTTTAGTTATTGGCACAAATATAGTGGCGGAGCAGGATTTCGATTCAAAAGGACGTAAGTTAAAAACGTAAAAAGCCTTATAAACTCTTAATAATATTACATAGTTGGAAGGGTATAAATATTCAATTTGTTGAATCTTTTTCTATATAATAGTAGAATTTTCTTAAAAGTTCAATTTTAACCCAATTTATTATTCTCTTATGCGTGAAAAAAATAAAGGAGAACACTTAATGAAAATTATATTGATGTGAAAATTTTGAAAATAAATTATTTAGTGGGTACGTAAGAAAAAATAATATTTGAAAAGGATGCAAGAAAAAAAGTTTAAGTAGAAACATATTAAAAAATATTTCTGTCCGGCAATTTGGAAAAAAATGGTACATAATATGCCACATTTCTAAAGATATTGTGTTCAAAAACTACAAAAACGTATGAACAAAAATATTTAAGTAGAGATACATTTACAAAGGAAAAAAATTACTTCAACATGAGCAAATAAATAAGAAAGAAAAATTTAGTAAAGACATATTTAAAAAAATAATAGAAATAAATTAGAGAAAAATTTTGTTAATAAGAGGTAATAGTAGAAATATGTCAATATGAAAAGCTTAAGAAAGTATATAGGCTAATTTTTAATTATAGAAATTAATAGGTTATAACTTGTCAAGTTATGGTTCATAACCAGATAAGTTATGGACAATTATGAACAATAACTTATCAAGTTATGGTTCATAACCAGACAAGTTATGGACGAAAACAATAATTTAACCTATTTATTAACTTATATAAACTATTGACCTATTAATTTTAATTCATCTTAAATCTTAACTTATTTTCTTCTTTCTCCTTATAAAAAATTCTTAAAAAACTAAATGCAATAAAACAAATTTTCAAAAATCTAGAGGCCATATAAGAAAAATTTTGAAAAACTACATGCTACACTATAACAGACAAGCTTTTACTTAATAGCGTTAAAAAATAGTTATCATCTATATATTTATATAATAAAAGAATTTATTCTCTCATTTAAATTATAATTCATAATTTATTATAATATTTTTTTTATAAAAAATATATATAAATTAAAAATAATTATAACTGAATCCTCCGCACAAAGAACGAGAAGAAGAAGAAGAAAATGCCTGCAGCCTGTAGCTCTCTCACAATTCTCACTCGAAGGGCCAAAAAAAATCTCACCCGATGAACTCTCAGTGTAAACGTGCAGAGATCGCGCATAGTGGAGATCGGCAAGAATTCTTCCCTCTCATAGTGCAGATCGCGCAGCATTCCCTAATTTAGGTTTTTGATCTTTTGAAGTTTGGGTCGTTCTTCTGTACAAGTTTGGGTTGTTCTTCTGATTTAGGTTTTCATTTCTCTGTAAGAGTTTGGGTTTTGATAGAAGATACCAAGGTATGCCCTGATTTTTTCGGCTTGTTTCTCCTCGAATCACGGCATTCTTCTCTAGTTTTTTCGATTCTTTTGGTTTCATAAAATCTGTAGTGATGATTTGTGTTTTTCTTTGAAATTCCTTAGTTGTACAAGAAAACCCACAATCTGTGGGTCATAAAATTTAGTTTTCCTCTACGGAACATTATATTTTGCTTGCTTTTTTCACTCACAATTATGTTTTCAGAAGAAATCATGGTTGTTTTTTTCTGCTCTTTTTCGTCCTTTATTTTTTTTACATGTCTAATAATCTTGTCGTTTTTGGCAGATTTGGATTTGCTTTGGTGATATCCTTAAAGATACGAAGGTATGCTCTGTTTCTTTGCGTTTTTTCTCTCTTTTTGTTCTGTACCTTTTTCATTGTTTGGTCTCTTCAACCATGTATTGATGATTTTTATTTTTCCACATTTCTTATTGTTTGCATTCTTGTCCTCCTAAGAATTGTTTTCTAATTTCGATTTATGTATTAAGTGATTTATCTTTTTTTTTGGGCTCTGGTATTAAATGATTTATCTACTTGATCCACATTATGTGTTATTTTATTTTAAAATCCTGTTAGAATAAATTTTGTTTCTTGGTTACAAATGTGAATTAATTTAGCATTATGTTAACTGTGAAGTCGATTGATGATGTTAGGATGATTGATAAAGATTGGGTGCGTGATAACTGGTGAGCAAGATTAGAATTTAGTTTTTGTTTGTATTAGTCATCGTAGTTAAAAAATTCTTAGTGTTGACCTTTTTATATATAGATTTGCTGAGGAGTATATGCAAAGCGCTCAGAATTTCATGAAATTTATTTATTTCTTCTCTTTAATCTTATCTTTTTTTGGCTTGCCCTAAAACTAAACTTTATTTATTTATTTATTGCATTTTAGTTTCTTTTTTGAGATTTTATATTCAAATATAATGTATTTTTAATAATAATACGATAATTAAAACTTAATACACGAATTATTCTCTATGTGTAGTACGTGGAGTTCAATTAGTGTACATATATAAATATATTTGGAAATGTATTATCGCTGGGTGGCATTAGTGTATAGAAATACGAGTCCCAATAGTCACATTGAGCGCCCTACGTGGAGTTCAATTAGTGTACATATATAAATATATTTGGAAATGTATTATCGCTGGGTGGCATTAGTGTATAGAAATACGAGTCCCAATAGTCACATTGAGCGCCCCCCCCCCCCCCCCCCCCCCTTTTTAATCTTCTTTTTGCTCTTTCCTGGGATTGTTTTGTTTGTGTGGTAATTTAAAGACGTACACCTACCTCTTCTTCTTCTTCTTCTTCTTTTGACTTGATGGTCTTCTTCTTCTTTCTACCTTCCAAGAAATTGCTATGCAGTTCTACCTTTAAACAATATTCATCTTTCTTTCTTTCACAACACAAGAGCGAAGAAATCCTTCTCATTCTTTTACTTCTTTCCACCTTTCAGGAAATTGCTAAACCACAATAGACTCTCTCTGTTGCTTTAATTAATTAATTATTCACTTCTCCTTCGAACAGCTCTATTTATAGCTACTATGTCCGAGTCCGAGGTCTCCCAGTTGAGATCTGTTTGTGAACTTCTCTATCCACGTTCGTTATATTGTTATCTTTCTCCTCCATAATCGAGTTTAGTTTCGTCGAAAAAGCTTTCTGGGTAAGCTCTTTTTCGCTTTGAATTCATTTACTATGTTGCTCTTGTTTTGTTTTGACATTTATTTCTTGTCTAGAACACGTTAATCTTTTGTTTCATTTTGTTCATTGTGTTAATTCATATATATATTTATGCTCTATTTCATAATTTATGGCTATTTCTTCTTCAGATTGTTATTAGAATAACATTGTAGATTATAATTCTGGTGTTCTAAGATGTATTCTCTGAATTTTTGGTTATATTCATATATTTGTAACTGTTGAGAATGCTTCGAAGAAGAAAAGAAAAAGAATTTCTGATTTCTGTAGTTTAATAGATAGAAATCTGACAATTCAGAATTATACCCAAATGCTTATTAATAGTGTTCTTTTCTTAATAATAAAAATAATAATTTAAAGATGTACACGTACCTTTCTTTTTCTTTTTCGTCTTTGACTTAGATGGTCTTCTTCTTCTTCTTTCTACCTTCCAGGATATTGCTAAACCACTTTCACTACCTTCCAGTTCTACCTTTAAACAATATTCATCTTTCTACTCGAAGGAGAAGAAAGAAGAAAATGCCTGCAGCCTGTTGCTCAGCACTGTTCTCACTCAGAGGGCCATTTAGCCAGCCAAAAAAAATCTCACCCGATGAACACATAGTGTAAACGTGCAGAGATCGCGCATAGTGGAGATCGGCAAGAATTCTTCCCTCTCACAGTGGAGATCGCACAGCATTCCCTAATTTAGGTTTTTGATCTTTTGAAGTTTGGGTCGTTCTTCTGTACAAGTTTGGGTTTTTCTTCTGATTTAGGTTTCCAATTTAGGTTTTCATTTCTCTGTAAGAGTTTGGGTTTTGATAGAATATACCAAGGTATGCCGGAAAGGCATTCGGACCTACAGAGATGATCCAAATCTCGAGAGAGGAGATGAAATTTCGCCTGCACTTTCGAGAGCAATTGAGGAATCGAAGATTTCAGTTGTCGTCTTCTCAAAAGAGTATGCTTCTTCTAGCTGGTGCTTGAATGAGCTCGTGCACATTCTCAAATGCAAGAATGAAAGAGGTCAGATTGTTTTACCCGTCTTTTACAACATCGATCCATCGGATATTAGAAAACAAAAGGGGAGTTATGCTATTGCCTTTGCTGCACACGAAGAACGTTTTGAGCCCAAAAAAGTGATGGAGTGGAGAAATGCTTTGACTGCTGCAGCTGATCTATCGGGCTTTCATTCACAAGATGAGTGAGTGATTGCTTCCTTTCTTTTCCTTTTTTTTTTGTTAAATTAAACTATGCTTTGACTGGTTGTCCTCTCTGAGTAGAATCACAAAATCATGTCTGATTATTTGGGTTCCGGAATGTAAATTGAAAACAAAAAACGTCTTAATTAGAAAGTTTCACTAGATGGAGATGTAGATGCTTCCTTTGTCATGCTTTTTCTTTGTTAATTTTGTAATGCTTCTTTTGTATTAATTTATTTCTCTTCTATTTATGCTAGGTATGAGTCAGAATTAATTGAGAAGATTGTGGAAGATGTATGGAGAAAATTAAACCGTTTGCCACAAATTGCTATGGATTCTAAGGGTCTTGTTGGAATAGATGAACGCCTTGAGGAAATTGAATCATTGCTATGCAAACCAAATCCTCGTGGCATAGGCCTTTGGGGGATGGGTGGTATAGGCAAGACTACTTTGGCTCGCGCCATTTTCAATTGGTACTTTTATCAATTTAAAAGTCGCTGCTTTCTTGAAAATGTTAGAGAAAATTCGCAGAAATATGGACTGGCTCATCTAGAAATCAAATTGTTTTCAACGCTATTGGATCTAAGAAATCTAGAAACAGTCGACCACTTTGTGAGAAATAGACTCATAGGTAAAAAAGTACTGATTGTTCTTGATGATATTGATGATATAGACCAGCTGGAGAAATTGATTGGAGATGGTAGTTGGTTTGGTGAGGGAAGTAAAATCATCATAACGACAAGAGACAAACAAGTTATTTTGAGTGCTGACAAGGAAGTATATGAAGTTAGATTTTGAGAAAGCACTTCAACTCTTTCAGTTCAATGCCTTTTTGGAGCTGTCAGGAGCGTTAGTAAATTATACTAGATGCAATCCGCTTGCTCTTAAAGTTTTAGGTTCCTCCCTTCATTCTCAAACCGTAGAATATTGGGTTAATTCATTGAACAAACTAAAATTAATTCCCTATTCAAAAATTCAAAAGGTGTTGAAAATAAGTTATGATGGGCTAGATGATAAGCAACAAGATATTCTCCTTGATATTGCGTGTTTTCTTAGAGGGGAGACGAGAGATTTTATAGAGAGCGTACTAGATAATTGTGATTTGTTTGCAAGTTCGGGGATTGAAGTTCTCATGAACAAGTCTCTCATAACCATTATTAATGGCAAAGTTTGGATGCATAATTGAGATGGGTTGGGAAATTGTTCGGCAACAATCTATTAAACATCTTGGAAGGCGTAGTCGGTTGTGGATTCCTCAAGACGTCTATCATGTCTTAGACAACAATGAGTTAAGTATCTAATGACAATAAACTACAACAACAACTCTCTCTGGCATAATTTTTATTTTTAATAACGTTTTTTTTCACATTTCATATGCTCATTTATTTATTTTTAATTATCTAGGGAACTGAAGAAATAGAAGGAATATATCTTGACATATCAAAGATTGATGATGCTCTACACTTGGAACCTATAGTTTTCAACAATATGCATAGACTGAGATTGCTCAAGATATATGTTTCAGATTATTCACATCAAGTAATGTCAAAGTACACCTTACTCAAGGTCTGCAATTTCTTCCTCGTTCTCTAAGATATTTGTGTTGGTATAACTACCCATCAAACCGATTTCCATCAAATTATAAGATGGAAAATCTTATTGAGCTTGACATGCCCTGTAGTGCGCTTAAGCAACTTTGGACTGGTGTACAGGTATGCTATAATATTAGTTAACTCGTTGAATATCATGTGTAGAATGTTCATGATTACCTACTTCATATTACATGTTTTTGGTAAAATAATAAAAATTATTGTTATATACTAAATTAGTTTATTTTTTCTTGTAGAATCTTAGAAATTTGAAGCGTATTAATCTTGGTTATTCCAAACAACTCATCAAACTTCTAGATTTATCTCGAGCTCCACAGCTAGAAAGTATTAATCTTGAGGGCTGTATAAATTTAGTTGAAGTTCCTCCGTTTAATTTCCATGGATGTTTTGGATCTCTTACACTACGTGGTTGCATTAAGATTAAATCACTCCCAAAGATATCGGGAAATATCAAATACTTGAATTTAGACAAGACTGGAATAAAAGAATTGCCCTTATCAATTGGGCATTTTGAAAGTCTTGTGGAATTCAGCCTTCGTGGTTGTCAACATATCAAGAATCTTCCCATAGCTTCTTTTCCAGCTTTAACCTTTTTGGTTGAAGGAGATAGAAATGGTGTACTTAATAAAATACCATTGTTGCTTAATGTAGAGGAAGATCCAAAGACATTTAATGAAGCTATGACTTCAAGGGATGCCTCCTTTTGGAGAGAGGCCGTGAATGATGAAATGGATTCAATTATATCGAATCAAACTTGGATCTTGATTGTCTGAGGGTATTTCATCAATAGAACAAGTGTCTTCATCGTCAATTGAGGGTCTTGATTGTCTGAGGGTATTTCGTCTTGGAGGATGCAAAAAGCTTGAGAGTCTCCCAACTAACATTTTTAAATCCAAGTCTCTTGAAATGCTTAATCTTTGGGATTGTTCGAGATTGAAAAAATTCACAGGGATCCAAGTGTTAAGCAACTCAGTTATAATTGAAAAGTTTTTTGGGCTCCGTCGTCAAGATATGAGTTGGCGCAAAAAACTCGAGTTTGTCCCAAAATGGATTTATTATTTAAGTTGTCTAAAATTCTTGTCCCGCCACGGGTGTTTGGAACCTGAACATCTCCAAATGAAGCAATTTTTATTGTTCTCTTTGGACCGGCTAGATCTAAATAACTGCAATATAGTTGAAATTCCAGTTTGAGCCTTTTATCCTCGTTAACTTCGTTAGATCTAAGCGAGAACCCATTTGAGAACGTACCTTCAAGCATCATACAACTTCATCAGCTGGTAACACTCATCATTGACAATTGCAAGAAGCTCCGATCTTTGCCACAACTTCCATCGTCTGTTTGGCTTCTTAATGCAAGTGGATGTACTTCTCTGGAGACATTATCAAGTTCGGGGTGCTATGGATTCAACATACGGCATGTGACTCCTCACCCTTTAATTTACAAAACATTTTTCTTCAAAAATTGCTGGAAACTAGGACGGAATGCACGCAGCATTTTAACTGATTTCTTATACGGAGTTGATAAATTGAATTTGGTACGTATGTATTTTCTCTCTCTTGTTTTTTTTTTTGAAGTTATTTTTGAAGATTGAAGTAATTAACATTAATACACCACTATATATTATTCATATATATTGGTGTCTGGTGATGTAGGGAAGAAGACATCCTAAAATTAGAGTATGTTATCCGGGAAATGAAATTCCAAAGTGGTTCAGGCATCAAGACGAGGGGATTTCAACAACTATGAAGCTTCCCCATGGTTGGCATAATTCTAATTTTATGGGTTTTGCCATTTGCTTTGTTGCTCCAATAATCCCAGCAGGCGCAGGCTCATTTTCTAAGCATGTAGAAATTACGTTTGACTTACATCTTAAAACCAAGTGCGGTCAAATCCACAAATATGACCACAATGGACGTGATTTCTGGATCTACCGTGGTGATAAGGAGGAGGACAAAATCACAAGTAGTGATATTAGTTGGGACCATGTGTTCCTGCAATACCTCCCTGCCGACTTGTTCAACAAACATCCTGATGCAATGGGGGCATCATTCTATTTCAAATATAGATTTCTTTCGCAAAATGAGAATTGTGATTTGATTGTGAAAAGGAGTGGAATTGAGTTGGTATATGCATGCAAATGATTGATTATGTAATTGAAGAGGAAGAATCAGTTGCTATTAAGAACGACTTTGCTATTATCTATCTGGCACTCTTCTCTGAATTTTGATTTGAAAGATAATTATATATGCAATGCACCTAAAATGTGTTAATGAATATTTGAATATATTCTTTTCATTAAATGATGAAACTTTAAGACTATAATGCCTGAGTTATATGCTGAAACTTTTAGTCAAAATCCTACTATATAAAATTTTCCTCTAAATTGGAGATACTTTCTTTTCACTCCAAATTTAGAGTGTTGATTGTTAGTTTTATCGGTTTTGAAAGTTAGTTTCCTTTTTTCTTGAACACTCTGTTTCTTTTTTTCTTGAATATTCTTTAGCCAAACTTGTGTGACTTCAAGTGTTAGAAGAATAGCTTTGCAGATACGATGTTGGAATTCATTGCTCAATGTTTTGGGGATGTGTTGTGTTTTCCTCAGTCCCTTGAAAATGTATTTATAATTCATTCTGGTTGTATGTGCTTTTTGTTCGTTCTTTCCTATCCTCTGAGCTTTGTTGTCTTTACCTTTTTGTGTTCCACAGAATGGAAGGTGAACAGGCAAACTTGAATTCTGAATTTGGAGAGAATGTTTTCAGTATTTTCAATGATTGATAGGTAATTTAAATGTTATTAGACATCTTTCTCTCTTAGCCTTTATGTTTTGGCGCTTTTTAAGGTCTTCTGGTAAACTCTAACCTTAATAGAGGAGTTGACTGATAAGCATTTATTTAGGAAAGTGTTTGTTAGGAGGCATAGGCTTGTGTAATTAGTTGGGTACTAATTTTGGTTACTGGTTTAATCGTGTGGTTATGTGAATAAATTGTAATCAGTTGTATAAGGGGTGGGATTGTAAACATAATAGTAAAGAGTTGTTTTGGGAAAAGTCTTGGAGAGAATCTAAGCAAGGGAGAGCGATCGGTTCCTCGAATTACTAGAAATTTAGAAAATTATTGTACGCCCATCAGCAGAATGTTACATACTAATAAACCTAGTGTTACATGCTTACACTAATGGAGAAACTAAAAAAAATGTGTTCTTTAATTTTCTACAACCACCCATTTATAAAGCACCTATCAGAGTCCTGGAAAAATCTATCTTATCTCTTAAAATAAGGTCTCAGAAAATAAATATCAACTAATTAGAGACCGAGAGAGGTGATGTGATGATCGTGAAGATTGCGTTGAAAGTTTCTGAGAGGCATTTGGAGAGACTTGAGATGAAGGGCAAGTCTCGTATGCTTTAGAGTGAGTGAGAAATTATTAAGAAAAATGTCCTCAAAGCATATAATGTTTTTTGAATTATAGTGAGGAAGCATTTTCTTTGGTGATTCCTAAAAAGAACGAAAAAAAAAAATGACGGGGCTCTTTTATTATGGGGTACTATTATTCAATAATTGTAACCAACCTAGAACGCTAATTGAGGCCAGTTAAACCAGCAAACCTATTACACTACAATAAATATCAACATCAGTAGCAATCCAAAAACGCTATTAATCACTAACAATAGTGCTTTTTAGAGTGCTAGGACAGCAGGGGCTATTATAGGTCCTAAGAAAACATAGCGTTTTAGGAGAGTTATAGAAAGCGCTATAGAATTGACGTATTATAGCGTTTAAGACAAGCTATTTTCATCCTATTACAGCTCTTTAGGATAGCTACGATACAGATTAATAACTTTTTTTCCTTGTTATGTTCATACTCTTGTAACTTTTTAAAATTATTATTGATATCCTTTTCAATTCATGCAAATAAATGGTAATTCTGAGATATGTGATATCTAAATAGGAACATTCAAATTAAAACATAAAAACATTCAACATATCAATTGTTATCAGTATCTACCAAGCTGGCAATAAAATTACGTCTACAACATAATTCATACAATGTCCAAAACCTTAACATTCAAAACAAGTAAAGAAAACAGAGAAGTCATCTCCAAAACTTCTAAGTGCAATGGTGAAGTAAATCCTTCCATCTTGACAAAATGCTTCAACAAAAAAGTCATGTCCACCGTTTAACCTGTAAGAAAGTGATCCACTATCAAAACAATAATCAAACTCAACTAAAACTTCCACCATTTAACCTATAAATAAAGCAAGGACTAGTTAAATTCATCACTGAGAAGGGTAAAAATTAAGAATGGCTAAATTAGATTGCAATTATAAATAAGAGATGACAGATAAATAGGAGTCTACTGAGTAAACGAGAGACCGGCTCCATCATCCATTTTATCTAATACAATAGATAGCAATTTAGTAGTAGCTTTGTGTTTCTAGCTGAAGAAAGCATGACACTGCTTGAGTATTGACTAAAGCATAGGTTTAGGGTGCATAGAAGATTGTTTCTTTACGTGTTGATTCCAAGCATGGTAAACTCTGACCGTGGATACCAAACATGGCAAAAAAGTCAAAAACAAAACCCGTCCATAGCTTCCTATGAGAACGGATTTCAGTTTCCAAATCATATTGATTATGACCAATGATTACCTTGAAACCTAAAAAAAAAAAAAAAAAGTGTTAATAAAATTTTTTATATGTTCTATAAAAGACTAAAACCATAAGATGTCAACTTGCAAGATATGTAACCACAACAAAACAATCCAAGTAAAATAACCAGTCAAGCTCAAAATAATTCAGTATTAACAAACTTTGCATAAAAGATGGGATATAAAACTATTACCAGAATGTATAAAAATTAAGTTCAGATGGAGTCCATACCTTAAGCTACTTGGCAACATCCCTAGCAGAAGATTCAGAAACTTCGATCCATGTTTTTGAGAAGAGTGCACATGCAGACAACATGAACACAAGATAGAACAGTGCATGGAAAGGATTGGCTGCCATATCAGCTAAGCTGCAAAAAAAAACGCAATGGAATTGTTTACCAATCAAATTGTCCTCAACAAACAACAGTTCAAGACATTATCCATCAGACACAAAACAAACATCTCTCCAATAGGGAACATTAAGAAACTCGATGTTCGTCGTCAATTGAGGGTCTTGATTGTCTGAGGGAATTTAATCTTGGAGGATGCAAAAAGCTTGAGAGTCTCCCAACCAACATTTTTAAATCCAAGTCTCTTAAACTCCTTAATCTTTGGGATTGTTCGAGATTGAAAAAATTCACAGGGATCCAAGTGTTAAGCAACTCAGTTATAATTGAAAAGTTTTTTGGGCTCCGCCGTCAAGACATGAGTTGGTGCAGAAAACTTGAGTTTGTCCCAAAATGGATTTATTATTTAAGTTGTCTAAAATTCTTGTCTCGCCACGGGTGTTTGGAACTTGAACATCTCCAAATGAAGCAATTTTTATTGTTCTCTTTGGACAGGCTACATCTAAATAACTGCAATATAGTAGAAATTCCAGTTTGGCTGAGCCTTTTATCCTCGTTAGAGCTAAGCGAGAAGCCATTTGAGAATATACCATCAAGCATCATACAACTTCATCGGCTGAAAACACTCGAGATTCACAATTGCAAGAAGCTCCGATCTTTGCCACAACTTCCATCGTCTGTTAGCTTTCTTGATGCAAGTGGCTGTACATTTATGTTCCAAAATTGCTGGAAACTAGGACGGAATGCACGTAGCATTTTAATTGATTTCTTATACGGAGTTGATAAATTGAATTTGGTACGTATGTATTTTCTATCTCTTTTTTTTTTTTTTTTTTTTTTTTTCAAGTAATTTTTGAAGATTGAAGTAATTAGCATTAATACACTATTAATTTTTGAAGTTGTCACGTTGGTGTCTGGTGATGTAGAGAGAAAGTCATCTTAGAATTCAAGTATGTTATCCGGGAAATGAAATTCCAAAGTGGTTCAGGCATCAAGAGATTTCAACATCTACGAAGCTTCCTCATGGTTGGCATAATTCTAATTTGATGGGTTTTGCCATTGCTTTGTTGCTCCAATAATCCAACTAGGGAGAATTATGTTTGACTTACATCTTAGAACCAAGTGCGGTCAAATCCACAAATATGACAACAATGGGTGCCTTTTCCTGATCTTCCGTGGGGATAAAATCACAATTAGTGATATTAGTTCGGACCATGTGTTCGTGCAATACGACTCTGCCCACTTGTTCAACAGACATCCTGATGCAATGGAGGCATCATTCTATTTCAAATATAGAGATTGGCGAGATGAGAATTGTGATTCGATTGTGAAAAGGATTGGAGTTAGGTTGGTATATGCATGCAAATGATTGATTATGTGATTGAGGAGGAGGAATCAGCTGCTATCAAGAACGACTCTGCTATTATCTATCTGATAC